CAGCATTTTGTTCATAGCATCAAGGAAGAAAATGTACTGTAGCCGAGGCCACTCCATTTGTCTCAAGGGCAGGACAGAAGACTGATTTGCTTTCATGTGGCGTTACCTGGAAGAAAGGTTCTGTTAATGTATGCTGGAGATGGTCTAGCCATCCTCTGCCCTACCTCTCCAACCCCGAGTGAGTGCAGCAAAACCTGAACCCTATCCTTCACGTTCTTTTTCATAAGTGACAAGAGGTCTTCTAGCGCCTGTTTGACTGCTAGGAGGAAGCAAACTGCCTAGTCCAGGAAATCTGTCGAAAACTTAAAGATTCTGGAAGATTCTGAGATCACCAAGGGCAAGAATCCTGCTTACCCTCCTCTAGAAATGCCCCTGAGCAAAGCCCACTGGGTCTCCGAAAGGGGCAGATGTTATCAGGGGGGGTGCAAGGAAGGAATTGCCTTTCCCAGTCAAGAAAAGTGTAAGATGGATCTACGGATGCAAGGTGTCTGTCTTCCAAGTGCCTTCCAAACTAAGATGTTGTCATTTCTGACGCTTTCCTCTCAATAAACATCCTTTAACTACCGCGTGTCTTCTGTGAAGTTGCCACCATGAAAGCTGGACACATTTGGCACCAGCTTGCCTGGCACAGTTTACACATCCTACACTTGTTCTAGTATCAGCACTTTAGATTCTGTTAATGTACTATATGAAGCATAAAGAGTACTAATCACAAGGGCAATTTTCTATGTTATGTATATTATAGAGGAAAGATAATGTAGCCTTGGTAATTTTAGACATCTTAGCCAGTAGTTTTAGGAATAGCAGACTTCACTTGGTGTGATCACATAATTGGAAGACATTATTGCCATTCATAAATGGAATTAATTAAAATTTTAATTAAATTTTCAAAAGATAATTTAATAAAAAAGTAGGATGGATTAGAAAATTATCAATGAATTTACAGATTCATTTAAGACATTTATCTCTGTCACTATTCAATTTCATTGAAATCTGTTAAAAGTTATAGTAGGTGTGTCCACAGTAAAATTTGAGTAGTCACCATATTGTTTCAAGTAGCATGTAGTTTCAAAGATGTTCTTTATTTTTTAAACACAAAGATTTACCTGAAAGATATCATACATACCACACCACATCCCCTTCCCCAAAGTTCCTCTATTATTAACATCTTGCCTACTGTTATATATTGTTACAATTGATGAGCCAATACTGATATATTGTTCTTAACTAATGTGCATAGTTCTTAATTAGGGCTCACTCTTCTTTTTTTTTTATATTCCCCATACAATTTCACTCTTGCTTGTTTGTTTAGTAACCCTATGAGTTAGGAAGAAGTAAAAAGCAACTTGTGTTTTGTGAAGGTAGAGAGAAAAAAAAATGTTTGTACACAGTTGATGGGAATGTAGGCTAGTTCAGCCTATTGAAAACAGTATGGCAGTCCCTCAGAAGATTAAAAATATGGCTAATATATGGTCAGCAATTCCACTGCTAGGTATCTATTCAAAGACTACAAAGACACAAATTCAAAGGGATATATACACTTTTGTATTTATTGCAGCACTATTACAGTAGTCAAGCTATGAAAACACCCTGAGTGCCCAATGACACATGATTGGATTAAGAAGATATGGTATATATGCAGTGGAATACCACCTGGCTACAAAAAAAAGACAAAATCTTTCCATTTGCAACAACAGATAGAACTGGAGGGGATTATGCTAAGTAAAATAAGTCAGAAGGAAAAAGGAAAATACAGCATGATTTCACTCCTATGTGGAATATAAAAACAAAACAAAGGAATAGACAATACAAACACTCAAAATCTGAGCGAAACTGAGGCTACCAGAACAGAAGGGTGGCGTGGTGGGAGCAAAGGGAGAAAGGAGACTCAGATAGGAAACAAGGAATTTCAGTAACATATGGTGAGATTTATGATAGGAGAAGTAAAGGGGAAATTTACTGGTTTTCTTGAGGAGATCCTCTTTAGCATGAGGTCTGCAAGATAAATACAAATACGTCAGACAAAATGTTTTAGCAAGGGACAATAGTTAAGTAGTTCGTTGGTTTGTTAGTTAGCTCATTTAGTTCTAGTTGTATCTTCTCCTTGTAACTTTAATTCTCGGGAATGTGACATGTGCTTCTGGCAATGATTTAGAGTAGATAATTGCAGAAGTTCTTGCTAAAAGCTACCACAGAAAAGTGGACAAAATATTTATAAACATGCTTCTGAATACACAGCTGAGTCCTTCAAGAAGTAAGGAGAGTGAGAGAATCCTCAACTCAAACAAGTACTTAAGAAGTGGACTTGACATCGTGGTCTTCCTGGGACAGGATGGGATTAAGGGAAAGTTGAAGATGAATGTCCAACCCCAAATTATGAAATACAGCAGGAAATAATCCATCATAAATGTTAATGAGCACACACACAAAATAAAAAGGATTAGCACTAAAAGAATTTTAAGTAATGGATTATTAGAGACTATAAAATATTATGTTAAAAATGGTTAAGGAAAAACATGTCAGAAAAGCATAAAACAGCAAGAGAAAGCCAGCTATTAAAAAAAATGAAATAGTGACATTTGGGACAAAATGGATGGATCTTGAAGTGATTATACTAAGTGAAATAAGTGAGAAAGTGAAAGACAATTACCGGATGGTTTCATTCATTTGTGGAATATAAATAACCAGAGAAAACAAATTGGCAAAACAACAAAATAACTCTTAGTCTCTGTGAAATATATGGTGGTTATCAGATGGTGGGGTGGAAGGACAGGATAGGGGAGGGAGTGTGATCCGGATTGACACTGGACCCTTGTGTGTGGGGCGGGGTGGGGTGCGGGACAGTGAAGCATGTGCCCAGGTTCAGGTATGAAGTTGTACTCTCAAAATTATAGAGCGATATAAGTAAGTGGCAACTCAGTACAATTTGATTTAAAATACAATAGAAGTGAGGCATGGGAAGTTTTTGAAAATAACTAAATTGGGGTCTCCCTGGTGGGACAAGGAGTTAAGCACAGCATTGTGAAGCTATCAGCAGCCTCTGCAGCAAGAGTTCATTCAGTCCCCGGTCGGCCAAAGAGCTACCCACATGGCACAGCAGACCTCTCCTGTCTCTCCCACTGCTCCCCTCAGCAGTGTATTTCAGCCACTCTGCCAGTTCTGCTCCCCATTCTGTCTCTGGTGAATCCTCTCACCCCCCCACACCTCTGGCCTGTACCCCAGTTCTTGTATGCATAAATAAATCTTTACAAAAAAGAAAATAACTAAATTGAATTTTTAAGGTTAAAACGTGTAAATATTGAAAACAAAAAAAAAAGCACACCAAATAGTTTAACTGAGAAATTCTAAGGGTCCAATAAAGATTTTTCCAAAACAGCAGAGTGATTAAGATAAAATAAAAAATATAAAAGAGGTTAAGACTCATTAAGGAGAGAAAAATTTCTGTCATGAGAATGTCATAAGGAGAAAATACTAGAATGGAGCATGGGAAGTGTATGTAGAGAGAAGTCTCAGAATCATCCAGATTTGGTGAGATATATGATACCACAGATTTAGGAGGCCCAAGCAGGATTAAGTGATACACAGACACATCTTACAAAAATACTAACGACCAACCAAAAAAATCTTAAAAGTAACAGTAAAGAAAAGATAAATCATCTGTGACAAAAACAATCATAGTAACTATGACCTCAGTAAAGATAGGGAAATGTAGGAGGCAAGGGAATGACATCTTCAAAGTGCCAGGGGAAATAACTGGCAACCTAGACTTTAATATACAAATACGCTATCACACATGAAAAAGAATAAAATAAATTATTAGGTGAAAAATGAGGGCTTACCACCCTCAGAACCATGCCAGAAGCACAGCATATACAGGTATGGTTTGGGAAACAGAAATTTAGACTCCAAAGAAAGGAGGTGGATGTAAGATCATGAGCCGAGAAACTGGTAAAAATGTGAGTTTATATAAACAACCAATAACTGTATAAATCAGCAATGGTGATAATTATGATGAATAATTTGCAAGTATATAAAAATAATATAAACTAAATATTAGACAAAGTAGTGGGTCAGTTGGGAGAAGGTGAGCATAGTTATAAGGCTTTTGAGATATTAGAGCAAAACTAAAAGATTAACTTTAGACATTGCTAGGTCAAGCCCCATATTAAAAATTTAAGAATAATGTCTAAAAGAATAGAACAAGTCTCAAAGCGAGTAGAGGACAGATTGAAAATAAAACCAACTCAGTGACTTGAAAAGGAAAAAAATATTGTCAAGAAAGCCAATATTAAGATGAAAAAGTTGATATAGATACATAATTATAATAAATTATAATAAATATTAACTGACTAAAATAATATCAGCAGAGGCAGCAAAAATATACTTCAACTGGAAAATTAGGAGATTGGCTAGATTTGACAGTCATTTATTGTATAGATTTGAAGGTCTCTGATAGCTATTAACATCTTTAATTATATGTAATAGATATACATACCTACATTTCAATGTAGATATAGATGTTATATATAAATTTATATATATTTCATGACTATATGTCACATATTCATATCTGTACCTATCTACCTACCTATGTATCTACCTCTCTACCTAATCTATGTATTTATATTAAGTAAGCACTAGATTCCACTACTTCCCAAAGTGGGAAATCATTGTGGCCTAAGAATATGGAAGGTTAACTAATCCAGTACAAATGTGGCCTAGCAATGGGAAGAGGGTGCCAAATGTTGAAATCCAAGGTTCGAGGCAGTGACCAGGAACACAGCATATTAGGGTTACACATTTTAAGAACTGTAAGATAGGGAGGTAAGTTTATAAGATCCAAGCTGTAAAAGAAAGAAACAGACAAACAAATAAATACCTATGAAGGAGGCAGGAGTTTCAACTCCAGAAGAGTCCTGGGTAAGAAAAAGCATAAACAGCGCCCTGTATCTGTTCAATCTGGAGACGTCTTGGAAATACTTTGAAATCTGTTCCCCCAGGTTTGTTTTTCTTCTCCATCACACCTCACAAGGAACACAGAGAGTGATGTCCTGTCACTTTGATGCCTCTCTCTACTCAAATGGCAGAAACCAACCAGGTGAGTTGTCATAACTTAGATGAGGCAGGGATAAAAATACACCTTGGAGAGCTTGCTTCCTGATGACAGACTGAGAGAAGCTTTTTGATTTGAGTGATTTGGAGCTTAAATTCAGTGCCAACCCTTATGAATGTCTTAGGACGCTGGGTTAGGGGAGAGATTATACCGGGGTATAAGGTCTTTTGTCTGTCTGCCCTTAGAATTGTCTTTGATGGATGGATGACCCTGTCTAACATCCTGATCAAAAATTATGAGTGAAAACTGACAGTTGAATTTTTTATATCAGTATTCAGGATTTACCTTTATAAGCAGCATAGTTACTGCAGAGTTAAGCATCCTAATTAATCACAATGTCTGAGAATGCAACCAATTTAATCATTTTGTTTTGTTTCATGAAAAGCAAAAAAAAAAAAAAAGCCTTCCCTGTAGTTTCAAAACATAATTTAAAAATCTTAAATTCTAAACCCCAAGTCTTGGTCTTTAATTGGAATAAATTATGTGATCTAGTTCATAGGATGGGTCTGCTTCGCAGTCTGCTCTCCCAACTTGCCCAAAGAGGGATTCCAGGAAGAAAGTGGTGGCGCCAAATAATAGAAATGCAAACCTCCCTGTCCTCTGTGGCTACAGAGGGAATCACAGAGGATCATGAGGGTCCTGGGATTACTAGCAAATTAGAAGGGATGTCTATTTACCAACTTTCGTGGTATCTTTTGGTAATAATGACCTTGAGCTCATCACAGGTCATGGTTGGTGTTTGTTCTGTTTTGATTAGGTGGTATCCTTGCCTGTTTTTATAAATGTTTTGTGAATCATCCTAGATTTGCAGGCTATCAATGTAATGTTGATGCTTGTTTTTGAGTTTTAGCAAGCAGCTATTTTGGTTTTATTTATAGCCTTTCCTTACAATAATATCAAGGAGTATATGGGATTAATTCTGAAAAAAATTTGAGTGATTTAAAATCATTTCTTCCTGCAATTATGAAACCTTTTAACTATTTTTAGTGAAGCTTAATGCATTGTTCTGATCTCATTTTACCTTAGAAGGAATGATGTCCTGGAGACATTCCATTTCTTACTTAACATTTCATCAAAAATATTCTTACTTAACATTTCATCAAAAATATTCAGTCATGTCTGCATCCCAGTTTAAGTTCAAGTGAAGACTTCAAAACACTAATGAAAATTATTTGTGAGTGTCTACTTATGCCATTTCTCATAATCCTCACACAAACTATTTTATAGGAGAGTATCACATTAGCTCAGATTCAAATTCAGGTCTAAGGAACCCAGAAGCCCATGTACCATCTTTTTACACTTTGCAGACAAAGTCTCCCTTCTTTTAGAAAAGTCTCTCAAGGAAATGGGAAGCAGGGGCAAAGTTCAGACCATGTCTTTCATACCTGTGAAATATTTTCATATTTTGGACTGTGTGGAATATCAACACCTATAGTCATGAATTCTCCCTGAAGCTTGGGAGCCTGTGGAATTCATGGGTGTATTGGCACACACAGAGGGGATGAGTTGGGTTTCAGAATAGAGACACTAAGGAATACTGCTTTGGGCTTGCTTCAGGGGCTTACGGAAGAGAAGGATTTACTCCAACTTGCCCACTACTTTCCTCGCTGTGTTCCCTCTGCTTTAGTCTCCCCCATCTATAATCCATTCCTACCTAACTCCTAGAGTTACTCTTTTTAATATCAATCCTGATCATGGCATTTTCCTGCTTGAATTTATTAAATAACTTCTAATTGGACTAATATAAATAAGCCACATAAAAGTGAACAATTCAGTGATATTCAGCACATTCACAATGCTTTGCATTCACCATCTCCTCCTAGTTCCAAAATATTTTCATTATCCTAAAAGGAGATGCCATATGCATTAAGGAGTCACTCCATTCAGCCCTGGAAACCACTAATCTGCTCTCTGTTTCCAGAGATTGACTGTTCTGGATATTTCATATAAATGGAATCATATGGCATGTAACCTTTCATGTATGGCTTCCTTCATTTAGCATAATCTTGCCAACAGTTGTCCGCATATTGGTGGTTGCATGCACCTGCACTTCATTCCTTATTATGGCTGAATAATATTCCATTCTATGGATACACTGCATATTGTTTAGCCATTCACCTCCTGATGGACATTTGGGTTACTTCCAGTTTTTGGCTAGTGTGCAAACTTCTGTCTTTGTCCACTGTTCTCTTTCCCATTCTCACTTGGAGTTAACTCAGTGAGTAAAATCTTGGAGCAGAATGGGAGGCATTGAATGCGATCTATGAACAGATCTCAACTTCTTATTGAAATTTTAGTGCCTGTCAAGGTGTGATAGTTTTCTGTAAAAGACAAACCAAAGGCTGAGGCTTCAGGAATGAGTTCCATGTAAACTTGTCTTATCTATTTCGATGCTTCCCCACAGTAGTTCTTAGAGGTGAGAAGGATATTACTGTTCCGTGAACGTTTCCTGGAGGGATTGAGGCTAGGCATGAGGACGGTCAGCTAAACCTGGCCTGGTGTGGACTTGTTACATCGTCTCATATATGTACTTTTTGTTCTGCAAATGTTCAAAGATGCATAAAAGTAGAAAGACAAATTTAATAAACTCCCACACATCTATCACCTAGCTTCAACAATTAACATCTGTTGTTCTTATTTTATCTGTTCCCCTACTATCACTTTTTCTGTTGTTTATTTGTTTTGTATTTGTTCTTATTTATTTGTTGTTGGCACATTTTAAGGCTAATTCTAGACATAATATTATTTTACTTGGACATATTTCAGTAGGCGTAACTAGCTTTATTCTTTTATTATAATCAGAATCCCTCCCAACCCAACAATCCCTTGGTATCTTCAATTTGTGTTGTTTTTATCAATTGTGTCAAATACACCTTTTTTTTAATGGTTGATTTATTAAATTCAGAATCCAAAGAAGATTCTGTGAATGTTGCAAGTGGTGAGTGTTCTTTTACATATGTTTTGACATATAATAGTTTCCCTTCTTTGGTGCATTTATTATAGAAGTTAAGAGTTGGTTTTTTTGTCTTAAATAATTCCTGACTTTGGCTGAATATATCTTTTGGTGTTATCTAAAATATTTTTCTATCTCCTATAAATCAGTAGTTATATGTGTAAATGCCACATATATACAGACCACATATATAGTGGTATATATAGGCATAGGGGAATAAATATGTATATACAACGGTGGGATTGGATGGGATTAATTCCATTTTCTTTGACATTAAGATTGATCAATAGTTCATTATCATGGTGTGCTGAAAAATATTCCCCTAAAATATATCTATATTAATCCCTGTAACATAATATAATCCAATATAACACAAAGCTAATTAATATAAAAATATTGGGGTGCTCTTTGCAGACATGATTGACTTACAGCACTTGAGATAGAGAGATTATACTGTATTATCTGGTTAGGATCAAAATGCCATCACTTGTGTCCTTATAAGAGGGGGTCAGAAATTACATATCATTCACACACACACAAGAGGTGGAGGCATTGTGACTAAGGAGGTAAAGATTAGAGCGAAATAGCCACAAACCAAGGGATGCTAGCAGTCACCAGAAAATAAGAGGCAAAGAACAGATTTTTCCCTATCACCTCCAGAGGGGGCCTGGCTCTGCCAACACCTGATTTCCACTCAATGAAACTGATACCAGAACAGACAGAAAATAAATTCTTGTTGTTTTACATCATCAAGTTTGTGATGCTTTCTTACAGTCGCCATAAGAAACTAGTAACACTGGTGTGATCTGCCTGATCCATCCATTATCAAGTTCCCCATGAACTTTTCCAATAACTTTAGGTGCCCATCCATCATCAATGTGCTTTCATGCCTCCTGACCCAAGGAAGATCTGTTATTAACCACATTACTGGAACAGAACTTAAAGAGTCATTTAAAAATTTTTTAACTTAACCTTAATGCCTTTGTGCTTGAAGTCCACACTCAGAGTTTTCCACTTGGCTTCCTTCTTTCTCCAGATGTCCACCGTCCTTCTCCTTATGGCATTGTCTAATGGGATCTTCACTATATTGTATGCAGGGGCTATGTCTTAGCCACCTTTGTGTTTTACTTTCCCATACCTGGAGCAGAGATTTAAATATGATTGACTTGTAGTAAAATTTAGTTTGGGGCAAGAAAATTACCAGGATGATGCTCTTCTCAACCTTCCAAACCCCATTCTGTTGTAGTCTATTGGATAAATGAAGAGTTCTTTTTAAAAAAAAAAATTATTTAGTTATGCATCTAAGAACTTGGGTGTGGCCCAGAGGTGCAGGGGGTGAGAGGATTCACCAGAGACAGGGATTGAACTCATGCTACAGTGGTTGGCGATAGCTTGATAGCACTGAGACTTTAACTCCTGCACCATTAGGGAGGCCCTAAGTAAAGAATTCTTGAAATGTTCATGCTCTTTGTCTGCAGAAGGTAGAATTACTCATTTTGCTTCAATGTGTATAGTAAAGGACTCTGGGTAAAATAGATTTTTACAAATTTTACAAAGCACATGAAATTTAATATGCATCTCAACTTTTAAAAGTTTCTCTTTCTGAATATATCTAGTGATAATAAAGGTAAACAGGTGTTTGAAAACATACTGTCATAAAGTACCAACCTGGCAGAAAACCTGTAGAATTTATAATGAGAACACAATCCAATTGAATTTGTAATTAGCACTTTTGAAATGTGCTCATTATTATTGTTATTATTAGCCACAAAACTATGCAGCTTTGGCTCACACCCATTGGAATTTTAGGGTGTGAATCTAGCCAAAAGCAGTCAGTATAGAAACCAATAAAAGAAATATGTTGCAGATTTTATGGAAGTAATTTTAAGTTAAATATCCAGCAGGACTATCAATTAGGTAGAAATTATTCACTGTTCTGGGTCAAAGAAAATGTTCACTTTTGAACATGCAGACCTTTATGAAAAATATCCTAATAATTTGAGAAAAATGAATATACTCATGAATGGGAAGTAATCCTGAAAAAAAGAGAACATTTATAGTTGAAGGGGCGTGTCCCAACAGAGCAAAGAGAATTTCAAAATTCAGGGATTCGACTTCATTGAGCTTCCAGAAGAAACTGCTCCACTCTCCAGAGGATAAAAGGGTTCTGAGCTGAGCGACTCATCCCTGATGACTCATTTAGGAAAAATGACTGGGCACCTAACAAGCTTGCAGTTAATTTCATTAGCTAACATTTATGGGGCAACCACAATGCTGCATTACATGCCATGGGTGAAATATGGGTGATCATAAAGAGGAGAGGGAGAGCCATCAATAATCGTGAGATGAAACCCCAAGGAAAAGGGAAGGTTTCTGGAGAAGATTCAACTTAATTCAGCATCGAATGACATCTTGACCTGATTGGTGGGGAGGTTAGGTCCTTTCAATAATAGAACTGGCAGAAGTTAAAACACAGATTTAGAGTCATTTGAGCCTTGAGTGGGGATGGCTAGCACATTGATATGATTATAACAGAAGAACTTGCTTGACACTGTGGTTGGCACATGGCAGTAAGTATTTAAAGGTGCTTAATAAGAATAGATACTCAAAAAATATTTAAAGATACTCAATAACACTTGAGAATCAATGACTTTGACTTTTTTGTTTCCCCAGGTGGGTATGCAAATAACACATGAAGGGAATATGATGCAACACTTAACAGTGATGTAGTCCAGCTCCACATAGGTATATGACAACCCTCTATGTACCTTGCATCAGCCCAACTCTGCTAATTTATATTACCTTCATGACTGTATGCCTTTGATTGTATGGTTCTCAGTTTGGACAGTGTGGACAGAATGTATATGAAGTTCACCTCTATGACCATAATCCTAGATGTTGAGGACATAATGCAATTTTCAAAGAAAACAAACATACCCACAGAAGCCATCTTGTTTTTTTTTTTGGTAACCCCTGCCCTGAATCGCAGGGGTGGACCCTTTTCTGTGATCTTTCTTTGTTTTTAAATAGACACTTGTAGAATTCCTTCTACTTACTAAGTGCATTCCTGAAAAATGACTAAGACCATGGAAGCCCCAGGCATCTCAGTTTTAAGAGGTGAGTCACTGGAGCAAAGAGATAGTTACAAAACAGTGTGATAGCTATGAGAATGACTTGCTAGAGCAGACCATTCCCCTGAGATTCACATTTCATGGCTGTGGTGTGGGGCAGGCCAGTATTTAACCCCTGCTTCAGGAAATTGTAATGAGTAGTCAGGGTGGAAAATCACTGTAGTTCTCAAAGCATGGTCTTTGGGCCAGTAGTATCAGCATCTCCTGGGAATTTGTTAGAAATTCTCAGGTAGGACCCTAGCTCAGAACTACTGAGTCAGAAATTCTAGTGGAGTGAGGGGAAAGGGCAGTGATATGTTTTAAGAAGTCTTGAAAGGTGATTATGCTGCAAAGTCAAGTTTCAGAACTACTGAGCGAGACTGGTTCTGTGTCAAGATATTGGGGATGTCTCCTACAAGAATCCCAGTTTTGTTTTTTATTATACCAGCTGTCTCATTTGAATATACCCTATTAACTAATTTTTTGGTTTTCCTCTTATTTTCTTCCCATAATATATATTCAGGGCCCCAAAGCTGCCAGCTTATTCCATTGAAACTCAACAAGTGTTTGTGTGTGACTCCAATCTCACTGTAGGCATTTATAGGGCTTTTTTTTTTTTTTAAGTAGACGGCATTGTTCCTGGAGACTTTAAGGAATTAAGAGTTAGTAACTAGAACCTTCAAACAGACAATATCCTGCATGTATAGCACTGCATGATTTAGGAGATCAGGGAATAATGGATACTACATGGGAAACTTGAGAGGGACGACCCCAGAAAATAAGACAAATTTGAGCTAAGCCTTGATACAGAAGTCGAATTTGGATCATTTTACTGTCTGCCTAACGGAGGAGAGAGAGGATATTAAGAACAGATAATCTCCCTACAATCACCATTGAAGACATTAGCTGTCTAGAGAGGCAGACACAGAGCTGAGAGGCACGTCAGCTCTCCCGAAAGTGCACCCTGAAGTGTGGGGTGTCACACTGACACCCCAAAATACAAGTCGACAGAAAAGATTTTAATTTTCACTAATGCAATCTGAGTTTGGGTAAGTTGGGTTAGCTGACCTGGATACTTTAGCTTGTAGGAGGCACCTGCCAGGGTGGCAATAGGGAAGATTGGACTTCAAGCTGAGCAGGGTTGAGCCTTGGCTTCACTACCTACTACCTGCTAGAGCTTTAGTTTCCTCTTCTCAACAGTAGGGAAAAGAAATTTCCCGTAGGCTATTTCTAGTGTAAATAAACTCACACATGGGCGATAACAACTATGTGGTAAGATACAAGTGTATTCTTACAAGTGTATCTTTCCCTCCTTTGGCCTGAATGCAATCAATTATTGGATTGGATAAGAATGGAAGCAGTAGTGGTTAGGAATGAAAGCTGTGGATTCAAAGGGCCTGGACTGCGTCCCAACCCTACCACGAAAATATTGTGTAACCTAATGTAACCTCAAAAAATATCCATTCCCTCTTGGTAAGAATCTACAAGGATGATTTTACATACCTCATGGGACTCGTGTGAAGATTTAATGAGACAATGCAAGTCAAATAGCTAGCTAAGTGCCTGGAAGATAGGAAGCCCTCAGTAACTTAGCAATTATTCAGGGGGTACAACTTTCTGCAAACTGACACTCTCCAAAGGAGTCCCTTGCCTCTCTAGGTTGGATGATGCAGGGGCAGTTACCTCCACCTCTGCCTTCTTAGCATCCCAGCCTCAGCCTCCCATTAATAGATCTGCAGTTGTTGTTGCTTTTCCAGAAGAGTAGTCAATTATTGAATCAATTTTAGATATGCTGCACAGGGTACATAATAGCTGACCTGGGAATATCTGTTCCAGTAAAGTTAATACTTGCAAAGCATCCAGGCCTGCCTCCAACCAATACTTTAATTTTCTTTCTAATACCTAGTTATGTGAAAAATGGTCAGAAATCAAGACATATGTTCTCATCTCCAGTGTTTTCATTCTCCCCACCATGCCCAAAACTCTTCTGCCACTCCAATCCTCATTTCCATTATATCCGAATGGAAAAATCCAATCCAGGGCTAGCATTTTATAGCTGATTTACAAAAAAAAAAAATCCCTTAAAAGTGCCAAGTTTAGCCTTGACATTGTTCCTTGTGCATCATAAAAAGAAATGCATTGAGAAGCCTTTGGGGTCCTTGTTCAGCTGAAGCACTTCCCTTCTGTGTTTTTTGTTTTTCATTTTACCTTTTACTGCTTCACATGAAACTGAAGCTCTTGGGACTCCTGCCGCCCACTGTAAACCCCTATTATTGATCATGTACTTACATGGTTGGCAGCGTTTTATGTAAGAGGAATAAATGATATAGTTGTTTCTATCCATTAAACTATACTGTTATCAAGGGATTGAAAAACTACCCCCGAACATGGCCATTATTTTTGGAGGTTCTCTAATGTTTAAATATAATTGCCTAGTAATCTTGTATTTACTATGTGGTGGCAAAGTATAGCTAGCTTCGTGTTTGCACCTTATAAAATGTAAGGACATTTAGTGTGTTCAATTCTTTGTTGTCTTCCTTCTTCTCCTGGCCCTTGCCTTTCTCCGAGGCTCCACCTCCAGGCATTTGGATCTGTGGCTTCCAGAGACTTCCCACGTGCTGTAATTTTTTTCCATATGAACTCATCCTTGGAGAACAGTAACTTCCTACTTAGGATGAGGTGGGGCTTCCCAGGCTCTGGCCATGTGGGAAGAGAGCTGGGGTCTCAGAGGCACAAAAGATTCTGCATGATTAGCAGAGCCTGAGACTCAGGAAAACGTGCCTAGTGAGCGAAAGCCCCAGCCTCGAGGAGGCTTAATTATAGTCCAGGGAGGTTATTCCTTCCTCAGCAGCAGCTGCCACTGCCCACGTGTACTCACACGTGGGCACACACGTGCACACACACAGAGGCACGCACATGCCCTCACGCACCATCCGTACGTGCAGTCTCTCCTCTTAGAGGACGCTCATCAAGGCAACTCTCAACCATAGCTTTTCCTGCTTCTGCTCCCCAGACAAACCTGCTCCAGCCTTTCTTTCACTTTTAAGTTGTTGGTGGCAAAGACCTTGAAACTTTTAAAGACCAAACAAAACAAAATGATGAAAATAAAATAACTGAGGGTTTCCTAAAAAGGAGGCCAGGGGCTGTTTCAGCTTTTTATTGAAGTATAATAGAGGCTGAGATTTTAAAATGTTTTTGTTTCTCTTTGAAGGGGTGAGGAATTGTGCACGGGGGGTTTTAAATGTGCTGGTGTCAGTGACTTGTGGGAGGTTTCTAAGCTGTTCATGCTAACTCTGAGGGATGCAACAGAAAAATCTGAAAGTTGATTTCTTCTTTCTGATTCTTCTGGTCTGTGAAGGAGGAAAGAAAAGGAATAAAGCCTTATTTTGCTCCTATAAAGTATACAAGGGGAGCGCAGAGGAACTAATCTGGTTATAGAAGGGAGATACAGACCTCGGCACATTTTGAGCATCAAAGGCCGCCGTCCTGGGCCTACTTACCTCATCCCACATTCAAGGTGTTCTGCCTGACAAGCTTTTTAGCTCTTGAGATGCCTTCTGCTTCTGCTCGTCCACAGCCGGAGAACATGAACCTTCATTAGCCAAGCCCTATTGTTGGTGTGGCTCTTCCTCCAGGTTATTAGAAAGTCAGGTTGGAATTTGTTTCCCCTGTTTTTCACAAGCCGCCTTAGAGGAGCAGTCAGGGTGAGGAGGCAAACATTGACCCCGTCCCCTGCACAGGAGTGCGCGTGCACACACACACACACACACACACACACACGCCATCAAAACCTGGTTCATCTCTTTATGGAATATTTAATTGTAGACAAATCACTTAGCTCTGTCTGAGGTTTCCCATCTGAAGATTGAGGACATGAGTACTGCCCAGGGTAATTGTGTGAATTGGTTGAGTAAATGTGTGAAAGACTCGGGACAAACACTTCTTTTTTTTTTTTTCATTTATCTACTTTGAATTGTGTGATTTTTTTATTGAGGTAATATTGGTTTGCAGCACTGTGTGTGATTTAAGAATATAAGTTCACACCTCTTCAGATTCACATCACCACACCACACCCACCACCCAAGCACCCGCAGTCCTGCAGCACAGTCCACGGAGCCCCCTCCACACCTTGCTCCCCACTCTTTCCCTCCCCATGCAATAGTCTCAGTTCTATAGTCAGATTTTGAGGGTTTGTTTTAATTTTTTAATTTTTAATTTTAATTTTTAATTAATGTTTTAATTTTTAATTTTTTAATTAATTAAATTAAATTAATTAAATTGTTTTAATTTTTTCCTTCTCTGTATTCCACATATGAGTGAAATCATCTGCTATTTGTCTTTTGCCTTCTGAGTTACTTTACTTAGCATCATCCCTGCTAGTTCTATTTGTGTTATTGCAAATGACAAGAGTTCATCTTTTTAATTTTTTTTTTAAGATTTATTTATTTATTTATACAAGCACTGGGTACAGTCAGAAGCGCGGGAGGGTGAGAGAATTCACCAGAGCCAGAGCGGGGAGCAGAGCAGGCAGAAGGACCGAAGTACACTGCTGAGGGGAGCAGCGGGCGGCAGGAGAGGTCTGCGCGCCATGCGGGACCCTCCTCCAGTGGCCGGGGAGCAGCCCGGGATGGAACTGGCGCTGCAGAGGCTGCGGGCAGCTTCGCAACCCAGCGCTTAACAGCTGCGCCACCGGGGAGGCCCAATTTTTTTTTTTTATCTTTTACTTTTTTATTTATAAAATTTTGCATCATTGTTCATTTTTAAACAATGTTTTCTTTCCCCCCACCCCCAGGTATAGTCCCCTATGGGGACATCAGGGGGAAAAATAATAATACAAAACACAACAAAGCAAAACAAAAACAGACAATTATAAACCAAAGCCACCTTGCAGGGGAGGAGGGAGAGGGACCAGAAGGAGGGAGGGAGGAGCACAGGAGACTGGTGATGGTGCACGGGTGCACTGTGAAGAGTTCATCTTTTTATAGCTGAATGGCATTCCATTGTTTTACTGTTTCCTGAAATCCCTTTTCAGACTCACTTTGTATCTTGATATCTTGCTGTACTTTGTCTCTACTTGCTATCCTTTTTATCTTGGTGATCCCCTCTGTTCATAAGCCCTGGTTTCACCACGCCAGAACAATCCATTGGCTGGTAATTAATAATTATGACAAGTACAAAGGCAGTGCAAACTCCCCCTTCGTATGAGGGGGTGGGAGGAGCAAGCCGACTTCTTGATTAAATTTTTCACATTATTAATTATCTCATATGGATATGGGTTCGTTTTTCAGAGTTGCCTTTCCTAACCACTCTGTTGTCATGTTCTCTCCTCTATGTAACCTCACCCCCTGAGGAATTTCCTATTACAATGTTCCATTACAATAGGGCAGACCCCAGAATACATGCTTCTCTCCACCCCTCTTTGGTTTCTAAAACTCTGAACATTTTCCAGGATAATACACCCACCCCAGCAGAGATTCCTCTTGGGGTCAAGAAGAAGGGATCCCAGGAAAGGGTGAGGGCAGGAAATTCCACCTCAGGATCACTCTTGAGTCTTTGTCCCCCTCCCAGTTCTAAAGCTCTGTTGTTTCCAGTGCAGACCATAGTCCTGCTGAGGCCTGGTGGGTGGGATGCTGCCATTAAAGTCTTTGAGCCCATAAAGTTTAAGGTCATTTTTCTAGTCAGCTTAATTTTTCTCATTCTCTTTTAGAACAAAATCAGGAAGCTGTTTTCTGACACGGTGACAAGAGAGTAAAAGAGCAAGAACCGGTGTCGGGGTGCAGGGTACTTCCACTATTGCTTCTGAGGGCTGCATATCAGGACTGGTGAATTCTCAAATTGGACACTGCCCTACGACATAGATCAGCTGTTATTTTGCAGTCTTAGAGGAAACCTTGAGGAATCTCATTCCTTCAATTGTATTAAATTATCTGCCAATGTTGTCCATTCCACTCAAAGTACTTTCATTGAAGCATTTAGCCTGGACTGCAGGAACAGCAAAATCTCTTAAGTCATTGTTTCATTGGATGTTTGGTTTACCTTTTGGTTCCACAACAAAATAACTTAATAAATGAAAGATGAGTAGAATTGTTACTATAGCAATCCCCATAGTAACATCAAAATGCTGGGCACTCTCATACTTCAAGTGCTCAGGAGGCATTCTCCTAGTCCTCCCACATTTCAGGTCTAGCTCCCCAGGTTTCAGCTCCGATGGCTTGAGGTCTTAGGATATTAAATGAAATCCATTTTATTTTCATCCTGAAGAATTAATGGACTCACAAAATGCCAAGATTTTTTATCTACTTATATCTTCTGCAGAAAAGTCAGAAGTGCATGTTTTATGAACTCGACAGTATGTACGAGCTGCTTGCGTTTGAGTTGTTCTTCTGATTTTTTAGGTCTGTCCTTAAAAACAACATCAGCAATAATCCCAGGCAAGGCATGAATTGCTCTTTGTTGATTTCAATAGTCTTACATAACTTACATGGGGGCAGGACTAGGAGATGAAACATCTTCAGAATGCAGCATTGTGGGAACACACATGTTTTTAATCTCCTATTTTCCAGAAGATCGCCAGAAGGGATCCCCAAGAGGTCACTTCAAGAAGCCTTTTGCCACCTGGTAGGATTATAAATGGATTCTCTGACTAAGATCACTGTTATTAGGTTGAATGAATTAAAAGCTGTAGAAAAATTAAATGGGAGGTGAAAACTGATTTTGAACATCATGTCTTTTTTTATACATTAGGTATTCATACATACATGTAAATATATATCACTGTTTGTGTGTGTTTAGCATAAATTTATACACCAGCTGCTGAATATTAAGTAGAGGATCTGTGTATCTTGTTTCTTAGCTCATTGTATTCTGAATATTAATACTGACACCCTGAAGGTAGAAATACAATTGGAAAAAAGTTGTGTTCAACTCAGAACCAGTGGGCTTAGAAAAGTGTGTAGCCCAGAGAACTCAGGTCAGGGACTTCATGAAGAGCAACCTTCAAGAGAAAAAGAGGAAGAAGTGAAAGAATAAGGAACAAACCATAAACAGGCAATCATAAAGAGAGAAATAAAATTATTAGCAAACATATGAAAAATGTCCAGTGTCACCACTATGCAAAGAAATATAAATAAAAACAAGCACACTAGGATATGAAGTGGAATTTCTCCTTTTGCTCTGGAATCAGCACTAGGCCCCCAGCCAAAAACAACAGGTGCTAAGTGCTTGACATGTGAAAGAGCAGCCAGGCCCCAGCCCCACAGCACCACTATGTAAGCAGAGGACAGGAAGGGGCAGGAGAGTACAGGAATCAAAGTTGGGAGCGGTCAGGCACTGGGGCCATGTTACTCATCAGAAGTTACTCCCTCTCTCCCATGGGTGAGAGAGGAGATTGCACTCCCTCCCCCAGTTCTATTCGACCTAAAGAACAGAGAAGTTTCACAGAGATTCACCCACTGAGATTGAAACAGATATACAGGCTCTTACTTACTTCCCTGTATGGAATGCTGCTTCAGTAGTAGGCAGGCTTTCTGATCTGCTTTTATGCCTGTCTAATAAGGCTAGAGAATTGCAAATAGTCACAAGAGGTGACAGAGGAGTAGCCTGACTTTCCACCAACTAGCCCCAAGGACATACCCATTTCTGGTGATTACATGGACACCAGAGACACTAGCTAGTACTGAGACATTCAAGCCTGTCTAACGGGTGAGGTCATTCCAAGTGGCGGGAGCTGGAGATCAAGAGATAGAGCCCAGCTCTATCCCCAGCAGACATGAGCACAGAGGGGATCTCAAAAGACCTTCCAGAGAATCCAGCAACCCCCAAAAGACTTTATATCCACCCTGTGGCAGAGCAGCACCTGGATGCTTACTAGGTAGAGATATCAATATCCAGTTAGTCTAAGTCAGAAAAGCAATCACATCCCGGTGGGGGGGGGGGGGGGGGGGGGAAACAACATTGCCATCATGTCCTTATCGGTAAGAAGACACTGATCCTTTATCCTCACACTCCCCTTTCTTATAAAGTTGTTTCATAGATGTACCTACACTGTGTTGAGATTGCTCAACACACCAGTCACATAACCATGTGAAGTTATTTGCCTCTGTAGCTTCCTTAACTCTTTACCCGGGTTAATGGGGATACAGAGATGATGAACTTGATGGTGTGAGCCTATGATGGTTCACCTTTTCTTGAGAATAGTTTGTCAATTGCATATTTTAAATGCCTTGAAACTGGCCTGCTATTTGATTTCCTGATCCCATTCCTAGGAATTTAGACAAAAGACATAATCAGAAATGTACACAAATATATATAAACAAAAAATATTCATTACAACATTACTTACAAAAGTAAAGGGGAAGACCTGAATTCCAAGTTGGAGGTGACTAAATTAGGCATATTCCAATGACAAAATATAGCAGCCCTTAAAATTGTGCCTTGACCACTTAAGTGATTTTGTATAATGCTCATAATATAATGTTTAGTGAAAGATAAACAGGACAGCACCTGCCATTACATAATACATGGAAAGGAAAAGCAAAAATATCTCTAGTAGCAGAAGACATGAGTATGTAACTAGAAAATCCAAAGGACTCTGTGAGAAAGCAACCCACATGTGGCACAGCAGACTTCTTGTCTTGCCCACTGCTCCCCTCAGCAGTGTATTCCAGAAGATCCACCTGTTCTGCTCTCCACTCTGCCTCTGGTGAGTTTTCTCACCCCCCACACCTCTGGCCTATGCCTCAGTCCTTCTATGCAGAAAGAAATAAATAAACCTTTAAAATAATAATAATAATAATAAACCTGGGTTTAAAAAACAACCCAATGGTGTAAAACTGGTTATTTAAAAAATAACCAAATGATGTAAAACCAAACTGTACAGAAAAACATAAAATCACTTGTAAAATATACAAAAGTAGACGTGAGAGCATATTAGTTTTTTGGACAGATAGGAGACAGTTCTCCCTCATATAATTTTTCAATTTAATGTCATTCAAAAACTATCATTAAGAAAAAAATAAGCTAGTACAGTTAGGAAATCCTTGCAAAAGAAGACCAATGAGAATAGAGACAGGCCACATTATAACACACCTGTAATTAATAAAGAATGGGATAGGCACATGAACAGATAGATCGATGAATAGAATATCTGGAAATAGACTTAATTGCAAATGAAAATTTAATATACAATAAATATGGCATTTCAGATTGGTGGCAAAAAGATGGACTTTTAAATAAGTGGCATTGGGATAAGTAGATAGCCATATGGAAAAAGATAAAATTGGATCCATTTCTCACATTGTACACCAGGATAAATTCCAAAAGGCTCGGAGATCTAAATGTGAAATGAATGAAACTATACATGTTTAAGGAGAAGATGGGTATTTTCCTCCAATAACTAGGATGGAGAAAATTGTCTCAACTATTTAACAAAGTCCATAAGCATTAAGGAAAAATCCAGTTGAATTTGATGGCATTTAAAAAAAACTTTTGCAAAGAAAAAAATACTCTTAAGTGATGTGAAAATAATGACAAATGGAAAAAATTTGCAACTTTTATCCCAAAGGGTTAACATGTCAAATATATAAAGAACTTCTAAAAATAGAGAAGAAAAAGGCTACAACTTGGTAGATAAATGGACTAGGGAAATGAACAGACTGTTCCCTAAAAAAAGAAAAGCAAATGGCTCTTAACCATATGAAAATATGCACAGCCTTGCTCCTAATAAGAGAAATGCAAATTATAATACCCTGAGATACCATTTCTCACATATCAGATTGGCAAAAACCCAAAAGTTGGAAAACATACTTGGTTGGCAAAGTTGTGGGAGAGCAGGCATTCTGATATATTGCTGGTAGGAAGCTAAGTGATACCACATCTGTGGAAGGGAATTTGGCAACACCTACCAAACTTTCAATTACTCACTTCTAAGAGTCTATCCCAAGGATTCACTGGAAAACAAGAAAAGGTAGAAGTCATCTGGATGAATTCTATATTTCCTTCAGTCTAGTTGTAATCAAATGCAACAATCCAAATATCCATTAATTGGGAATGATTAAAAAATGATGGTAAAGCCACATAATAAAATATTACACAGCTGTAAATAGGATGAAGGAATCTCTTTAAACTGCTTGGAACAATCTCAAGGACAAAATAGGGATGGAGAAAGAAAAGTGTTTGTGTTATATGACCATTTATCAAAGAATGGAGAAATAAGTGTTAGAGGAGACCGATATATAACTTAACTTCTCTGTCTCTAGTTTTGTTAATTGGACTTTGGAAACACAACTGTGTTACATAATTAAAGAATAAAATATTTTTAAAAAGCAATCATTAAAAAAACTAAAGCAAAAATGAAACTAACTGGAGACTGATATGGTAATCTAAATATACAAAAAGGAATTATTTTGAATGATATTAAAACCCAATAATGCATTTGTTCATCCTAAAGTGGTATTTTCTAAAGAAAAGAACTGTAGAAGAATGTTAAACTACTTTTTGTAACCAGTTCATGATGGTAATATTGATACAGTTATTCTGAGACTGTTATATATTGAGGATAAAGCAGGTTATTAACTACATTAATATTTTTAAGACCTGGGATTTTCAGTTTGTGAAAAAGCACAGAAGTAAAATTGGTGAGTTTAAACAAAACGCCATGGTCCTTTCATTTCACTGGAATTCATCAGAAAGAATTTGTGGTGTATTTTCCTTTAAAATATATTTTTTAGATTTGTAAGGTAAAAAATACAAGAAGTCATACCAACACAATAGTAATGTGTACTCCTCTTAGCACAGAGATTGGGATTTCCAAGTATCTTATCAAGCTAAAAGGAACATGGTTCCAAGTCTTGGTAGAAAATAAACAATATAGACCAGGAACTTTTTCTCATTTGGAAAAACACAGAAGTTGTCGATGACAACAGGAATCATATCAAAGGATGCAGGAGACAACTTTAAGGTGTTCCACTGTCCAAAATGGAGACAGTTTAAGTATCACTAAGGATAATAGGTCTAATAAATTAAAACATGTGAAACTCTATTCAAATTCATAAATTTGTAATGATACGGAAAAGAAGACAAAAACCAAAAATTCCTTGGTTACCTTTGGAGCATTCTGGGGATTCAACTCATTATTTTGAAAACTAAAAAATAAAGGGAAAGAATATAGCATTTGTTTTGCTGTTCTATATGAACTTCATCTCATAGTAATTAAGTAGTTTATTAAGGGAAGTTTCTCTTTATAGAAGCATCTTAACTGATACTGAAAAAGAAATTATAGAATTTGAACATTATCATTTTGGAACCATTGATGGAGCTGGATCATAATCAGCACTGGTCACTAATCCCACACATGAGAAAGAAAAGCCAGACATTCTATGTCTCTCCAAGAAAGTACACAATACTGTCTATGAAGGATTCTAAACAAAAAACAGAGCCCACATCTGATCAAGATGCAGGGATTCTTTACCCTTTTGTACTACAAACTACTTTGGCAGAGTGGTGAAAATAGTTGGGCCCATTTTGATCATAATATTTTAAAAGAATAAAATAAAATACTAGGTTGACTCAACATTTCATAAATAATAGTAAATTTTATTTTTAAATATGTTTAAAAGCATAAACCTAATTATGTTAAAATTTAGGTAATCAAGTGGTAGAAAAATAATGATGATATTCAAATGCTACCATTTCTTTT